AAGGAAAGGAAAGGAAAGGAAAGGAAAGGAAAGGAAAGGAAAGGAAAGGAAAGGAAAGGAAAGGAAAGGAAAGGAAAGGAAAGGAATCCATGGCACAGGAGCTGTGGTTTTGGCCTCTCAGGGCACTGCACAAGGAGCAGCTTCTGCTTTAATCGGGATTTTATTTCTATTTAGGACTTTTCTTCCATTTAGGACTTTACCTCTAATGAGGACTTTTCTTCCAATTGGGACTTCACTTTTTTGGGAACTCTACTTCTAATCAGGACTTCACTTCTCTTTGGGATTTTTCTTCTATTTGGGCCTTCTAATTGGGACTTTACTTCTGTTTAGGACTTCACTTCTGTTTGGGACTTTTCTTCCATTTAGGGCTTTACCTTTTTTTTTTTTGGGACTCTACTTCCATTTGGGACTTTTCTTCTATTTGGGACTTCACTTCTATTTGGGACTCAATGCTGGAAACTTTTAGCACGGACTTTAACGCCTGGGACTCTTTGCCTTTTGAGACTGGAGCACCTTTACAATAAACAACTTTATAGCAACCAACAACTGCTCCGCTCTTTTGAAGATTTCAATCTAAAATCCCGATAAAATCCCGGCTGGAAAAGCGGGAATTCCGTGGCAGCATTCACACGCGTACACGATGCTGGTGCCGGACAGGGCGGGGGGCAGGAACAGCAGGGGCTTGAAGGGTCGGGATGGGGGCGGGATTTGGATTGGGATCGGGATCGGGATGGGGTCGCGATCGGGGTCGGGATCGAGTTTGAGATGGGGTCGGGATTTGGATTGGGATCGGGATCGGGATGGGGTCGGGGTTGGGATCGGGGTCGGGATGGGATCGAGGTCAGGATGGGGGCGGGATCGGGGTCAGGATGGAGTCGGGACGGGGTAGGGATCGGGGTCGGGGTCCGGGTCGGGATCGGGATCCGGATCGGGATGGGGATCGGGGTCGGGGTCGGGGTCGGATCCGCCCGATCCCGCAGGAGCAGCAGGTAAAACACCGGGAGACAGGAAAACTTCCCCAGGAACATCCCAACGGCCCGAGGGACGCGGGAACCCGGGAATGAGGGGGCTGGTGTGGGAATGTGGGGATGGGAGGTGGAAAAGGAGGGATCATGAGAAGGAAAAGGAGGTGGAAATGGGAATAACGGGGTTCACCTGCAGGAATGGGGCTGGAAACTGGGATGGGAGCTGGAAACTGGGATTGGGGGGCCCCCTGCAGGAAAGCGGGACTGGAACATGGAAAAGGGGGGGGGAGGAACATGGAATGGGGGGAATCACCGGCAGGATTGGAAGCAGGAATAGGGCTGGGATCAAGAATGGGGCAGGGATTGGGAATGGGGCCGGGATCAGGAATGGGGCCGGGATCGGGAATGGGGCTGGGATCAGGAATGGGGCAGGGATCCGGATCGGTATTGGGATCAGGAATGGGGTTGGGATCAGGAATAGGGCTGAGATCGTTACCCGATACCTCAAACCAAACCACAAACTAACAGAGTGTCAGTTTATGCGGTGCTTTATTCGGGGCCCGGGGACCTGCGGACTCGCGTCCCAAGTCAGGATCCCACCGGTTCCCTTTTTCAGAGGGTTTTTATACCCTTTTTACAAATGGTTTATGTGCAGAAGTACACATTCTTCTAAATGATATAGATACATTCACCTTGTAGATAACATTTTACATCATAAATCCTACATGGTGGCTTACCCTAGGCCTACAGTGTCCTCCCCCTTAATATCTCTTACACCACTGCCCACCACCAGTACTTTATTTATGATTATTCTTTAACCTTATCACTGACGGTTCTGCATGCTCTGCTAAATCTTTTGAACATTGTTTTCTCAGCACAGCACATTCCTAAGTTAGTTTCCCAGGGCCTACTCTGGGAACTGCAGTCTCCAAGCCTTAGCATTACTACTGCTATTATGGTTTATACACTTTATATTCCAATATTCAGGATTTCTAGTCCGTACGGTAACAAGATCGGAACAGGGATCAGGAATGGGCTTGGAGTCAGGAATGGGATTTGAATCAGGATCGGGATTGGGATCAGGAATGGGATTGGGATCAGGAATGGGATTGGGATCAGGAATGGGATTAGGATCACAAATGGGATTGGGATCGGGATTGGGATTAGGAT